ATTTTCGTTCTGGTGAAATTTTCTGTGAACAGCTCCGAGCTTGGGCACAGGATAAATTAGCTGATCAAGCTACTTGCATAAATGACATAATTCAGGATAAACTTGAGACAGTTGAAAAGTATCACTCTAGATTGACTCAGACTTTTTCAGACTTAGGGTTCAGCACCTATAACAAAGCACACACCCAGATGTTATCTGCAGCTTTTGTGGCAGGCCTTAGGGAACGCATTCGTAAGGGGTTGATTTTAGCTCGCCCAGAGTACAGAATTATCCCACTGGACACCCTTTTGCTGGTAGCCAAGGGTTTAGAATCTGTTCTGCAACCCACACAGCGAAGAACTAGCCCTCTGATGTATACTACCTCCACACCAATTGCCGGTCCTAACCAAGTTCCTCAGATACTCCCCCAACAATACACTCAGTTACCCCAGACACTGCCTACATCAATTCCCTCTCCCCGGGACCGGACTATCACGACAATCCGGACCTGTTTTAACTGTAATCAGCCAGGTCACTTTAGAAGAGATTGCCCACACCCTAGAGTAATCCGCCCACAGACTCCCCGGTATCCGAGTCCTCATGTCACCAGCTACAGCTTCCCCTCCACTGGTTACCTCCCTGCCCTGCCCCATCCACAGTTGCCTCAACTTCCTCCTCCTCCTCCTGAATACACCCAAGCCCGGCTCCCTGCATCAGAAGCCCGTGCATACACTTCGGCTTCCGCTGAAGGGTACGACACAGATGATTTCCAAGACAGTCAGTCACTGCCCCGCCACGCTAACCGTCCATCCCGTCCTCCCATGCAATCTAATAACCCTCCCTCCACTTCCCGCCAGTACCAGGGACCAGATCAGGCCCATCTAGATTTATTACAATAGGTAACTGGCAAGCCTGTGTCAGCAACCCCTGCCATGGCAGTGTCTGCGGGGGATGGGGGAGGGCCCTTAGCTACTGTAGTTCTCCCCGTGGAGGGTCATCCAACCACCTTTCTAGTTGACACAGGTGCAGCCCGTAGTGTCCTCAGGGAACAAGACCTGCCAGATCCTTCCTTCTTATCTGACACCGATGTCTCCTGTGTTGGGGTGGATGGTACACCCCGCAGTAACCCCCTTACTAAACTTCTGCAATGTGGGTTCACACATTCTCTCCCGGTGTGTTGTTTCCTCTACTTGCCCCATTAACCTCCTAGGTGCTGATGTTCTCTCTCGGCTCCAGGCATCTATTACCTTTACTGCCGATGGTCAAGTTGAATTAACAACTCCCTTATCGCAAAAAGACACCTCTGTCCTTTGTTCCCTCCCCATCTTGTTGAACTTAACTGACAATACAGGGAATGTACGGGTCTCACAAACCCCCAGTGCTCTGGATCGTATCCCCCAATAACTTTGGTCCACCGGCCCGGATGATATTGGGCGCTTGCATGTGCCCCCAGTCATGGTCAAGCTCCTGCCTGGAGCACTGCCTCCCCGTAGACCACAGTATCCTCTGAAGCCAGCACAAGCTGAAGCCATCACTAAACAAGTTGAAAGCCTACTTGCCAAAGGTGCCCTCATCAAGTGTACATCTCCATGTAACACACCACTTTTCCCTGTTAAAAAGAGAACTGTTAAGGGTCAACCCGACCAGTACCGAATGGTGCAGGATCTTCGTGCTATTAATGAAGTAACCGTAAAAGACACTGCTATTGTTCCAAACCCGCACACCCTCTTGTCCCAGGTTCCACCAACTGCCATAATATTCACTGTAGTGGATCTAGCCAATGCCTTTTTCAGTGTGCCCCTTGACCCTTCCTGCCGCTTTCTCTTCGCCTTCACCCATGAAGGACAACAATACACCTGGACTGTCATGCCTCAGGGGGCCCAGAATTCCCCCACACAGTTTGCTCACGCCATGTCTCTGGTTCTGGAGCCCTGGCAGAAATCTCACTCGGATGTTGTCCTGCTTCAATATGTTGATGATCTCCTTCTCTGCGCTCCTGATTTGCTCATTGCAGAGCGTGACTCAGAAGATCTCCTATGATTCCTCGCTGCAGCTGGTTGCAAAGCTTCCAAATCCAAGCTACAATGGTGCCGGCCCTCTGTGGTCTTCTTGGGACATTGTCTTTCCCATGGCACCAAACATCTAACTTCTCAACGTGTACAAGCTATTTTGCAACTTCCTTTACCTGCAACACATCAGACTCTTCATGCCTTCTTGGGTCTAATCACATACTGCAGGTCCTGGATACCAGAAGCATCAAAACTCATGCAGCCACTCTATGATGCCCTCAGGAGTGAGCCCTTCCACCTTACTGAAGCAACCATCACCTGTTTCCACAATCTGAAAAGAGCTATTGCTTCTGCACCCGCATTGGGCCTACCCAACTACAAGCTTCCTTTCAATCTGTTTGTCTCTGAAAAGTCAGGACATGCTTCCGGAGTCCTTACCCAGAAACATGGCTCAAGACAACGACCTATTGGCTATTTTTCCTGCATGCTTGACCCTGTTGCGAGGGGTAGTCCCTCCTGCCTCAGGGCTGTGTTTGCCGCCAGCGCCCTCCTGGACAAGACTAATGATTTTGTTCTTGGCCACCACCTCACGGTTTTGGCCCCTCATGACATTACTGCAATCCTGCAACAAGTTCAACCTAAGCACCTTTCTTCCCAACATCACCTCCGTCTACAAACCTCCTTACTTTTACCTGACAATGTGAAACTTCAGAGATGTCTTTCCCTGAACCCAGCCACTCTTCTGCCACTTCCCAAGGGGGGAATCGTGCATTACTGGTACAGCCTGGACATCAACCCAGAGGTTCGAGCAGATTTGCAGCTGCCTGCGCATGCACCCCCACATGATGAACAATCAGAGGCCCTACTTCATTGTACCTTATGGTTTAAGGACATACCAGGCCCTGATATGAACTATGAGGAAGAACTATTCCAGCTCAAGGAAATTCAAATTACCCTGACTGACTTATTCTGGGACCCCACAGGTACCATGCTCATCTTAGTCCATCTTCCAGAGAATGTGACACATCTCTATCATCATTGGGAAACAGCTATCCCACACATATCTCTCACCAGATCCCCCGATACCTCATGGAAAGACCTAGGCCCGATGGCCAAAACCTGGAGTCAAATGAACCAAGAACAACTGACTTCTACGGGGATCAACAAAAAGACTATTAATTACTGTACGGCAGGGTACCCAAGGTACCACACAGAAGCTTGTGAAGACCCACTCATCACAGACTGTGACCTAGATATTCCTCATGATTGTTTTGAACAAATGAAAATGGAAACTACACACCTACCAACTGTCTATGAAGCTGCATTACTCAACCCGGACCAAACACTATTTGTGGATGGGTCAAGATTTGCTGATGAACAGGGACAATATCACACTGGGTATGCAGTCACCACAGGATGTCAAGTATTACAAGCAGCTGCCCTACAACCAACTAAGTCTGCTCAAGAAGCCGAGCTAACAGCCCTGACTGTGGCCTGCAAATTGTCTGAAGGTCTACGTGTCAATATTTACACGGATTCAAGATATGCCCTGGGAGTAGCACATGACTTTGGCCTAATTTGGAAGACCAGAGGATTTCTTACGGCTACCGGTACCCCAGTAAAACATGGGGCAGCCATTGCAGAACTGATGGATGCATTGGAACTTCCAGCAGAGGTGGCAGTACTGAAAGTAAAAGCCCACGGAAGACTAGACACAGAAGAAGCACGTGGCAACCACTTAGCTGATCAGGCAGCTAAGGAAGCAGCACAGCAAGGATGGGAAGTGGACAGAAGAGTGGCCACAGATACATTACCCATCTTAGGCTTCTGAAGGAACAACAAGCTGCTGCTACTCCCCAGGAGAAACAAAGTTGGAAGAACAAAGGAGCTGTACTCCGTGATGATGTTTACACCATCAATCTCAAGTTCTGCTTACCCAGAAGTATGTACTCAGCGGTGGTCCAATGGGCCCATGGGCCAGCCCACCTGTCGAAACTCCTGATGAACTCACTGATTGACAAGTATTTTGAAGCACCAGGTATCACTACCTAAACACAGAATTACTGTAAATCTTGTACTATATGTGCTAAGTGCAATCCTGGAAAGATCATAAAGACCGCACCTAATCACCTGGCCAAACCACAATACCCCTTCCAGAGGATCCAGATTGATCACATCCAGATGCCAAAGAGTGGACGTTATGAATATGCATTGGTCATAGTGGACATGTTTTCAGGATGGCCAGAGGCCTTCCCAGTGACTAATCTCACCGCGAGGACTACAGCCAAGTATCTTTTGACGGAAATTGTTTGCCGCTATGGAGTTCAAGAAGTGATTGAAAGTGACCAAGGGACCTCCTTCACTGCCTCGTTAACACGGGAAGTCTGGTCAGCACTGGGGGTGACCCTTGCATTCCACACACCATATCACCCACAGAGTAGTGGTAAGGTAGAGCGCATGAATGGCACTTTGAAAGCCAGAATGCTTAAAATGTCACAAGAAACTAACATGCCCTGGCCCGAGAGTCTCCCACTAGCGTTGTTTAGTGTAAGGTACACTCCCAGAGGAAATATAGCCTGTCACCTTATGAGATTTTGTTTGGTACAGCACCCAGGTTAGGTTGCTACTTTCCCCAACAGCTTCAGATTCAGTCAGATGCTATGGTAGACTATGTGACTGCCCTCTCACATGCCTTGACCAAGATACATGCCCAAGTGTTTTCTTCTATTCCAGATCCTGAGTCGAATACAGGTACACACAAGCTGCTTCCTGGTGATTGGGTTCTGGTCAAGAAGTTTCTCAGGAAACACACCCGAGAACCGAGATTTGATGGTCCTTATCAAGTGCTCCTGATTACAGCAACGTCAGTTAAACTAGCCGGGAAGAGTTCTTGGATACACGCTTCACATTGCAAAAAAGTGCCTGCTCCAGAAGAGGCTAAGAGGCTAATCCTGCTGAAATATGAATTTATTATGTGTCTTGTGTTTTCTTATGCTGCTACACTTTGCCTGGGCCCAACAAGTGGCCATAACCAAAGATAATCATGTTTACACTTTCTGGTACAATTCTTCTAATACTGATGTAGCTACATACACCTTTGATTACTGTGACATAGTTACTTGTACATTTCCACAAACACAATATGCAGCCATATACAAAGACATACCTAACAAAAAGGATCCATACATTTGTGTGACTGGAGGAGTTTGGGGACACCATTGTAGTTCATGGAAAGCTGCTGGGTGGAACACGGGTAGACCATGGGGCTACAGACCCCAAATTGCACTGGACAGACTTGACAAAGATGGGAAACCCCTACTCTCTAGAATGACCCTGAGCAAACCCATAGGGTCAACTCCCATTAAGCTTACCCTGAATATAGAACACCCCAGCCCAATGGATGCAGGAGAATATGTGATGGGGATGTACTGGAAGGGAGGTGGCTCACATAATGCACTGGGGACATTTTACCTACAAGACATGCTCACCTCCTCAGACTGGGTAGGGACCACACACATGATCATTAACCCATTAAAACCACATATTAAGACCCTACATGACATGGTAGCTATAGCCAACCCCACCTTTGAAGACACCATGGCAGTGGAGACTGGGTTTTCAGACACTAATTTGTGGCTAGAATGGATGAGGTATAATGCCAACTCACATAATAGGACTAACTGCTACGTATGTGGAGGAGCCAGGCCCCATCTGGGCACAGTGCCTCTGAGCTTACCCCCTGAAGTAGAATTATGTGTTTTAAGCCTTTATGCACAGTCCACTACGAACTCCTCAATATGTGAATCATGGAAGAGAGTTTACCCAATCACTCATGGACATGTAAAGCCACCTGATGGAGTCACCGTCTACCCAGGTAATTACACATGCTATTCAATACCTAAGAACACTGGTTTGTATCTGGGCAAATTCCCATCAGGATACTGCTCAACTTACCATAGTCTTCCTGTATCATTGCTAATGAACCACACAAAGACGATCGGTGATATCTATTGGTTATGTGGTGACAAACAATTGAGGTCCCAACTAGCTGGGCAATGGTGGGGGGAGTGTGCCCTAACCAAAGTTATAATGCCTATCCACATTATTCCAGATGGTAGTCATAACACATTAAACCTTACACATGTACATTCTAGAACCAAACGAGAGGCTCCCATCCGAGGGAGCTTCGACCCCCATGTGTATATTGATGCCATAGGTGTGCCAAGGGGGGTGCCTAACGAATTTAAAGCAAGAGATGAAGTGGCAGCAGGATTTGAATCCTTAATTCCAATGATAACTGCTAATAAGAATGTCAATTGGATCAATTACATCTATTATAATCAGCAGCGCTTCGTTAACTACACAAGGGATGCCCTACAGGGCCTGGCAGAGCAGTTACAAGCAACTACCCAAATGACATTTCAGAACAGAATGGCCCTAGATATGATTTTAGCTGAGAAAGGGGGTGTATGTAAAATCCTCCCTGAGACTATGACATGCTGCACATACATTCCAGACAACACTGGGCCCAATGGTAAGGTAACTATGGCCATAGAGAAGCTAGATAGTCTTTCTGACGAGCTAAAGAAGAATTCGGGAGTCACTGACACCTGGGACAGATGGTTTGGGTGGATGAATGGTTGGCAAAGGACCCTCTTCCAGGTAGGGACAGCTGTTCTTATAATGATTATCATCTTCTAATTCTTAACCTGTTGCGTGCTCCCTTGCATACAGAAGTACTTACAGAAGGCAGTAGATAAGACTATAGATGACGTTACCCCTACTTTCCTACATCAAGACATCGCAGACCTCGAAGATGACACCCCACATACACCCCTTCAATCACATCAGTTCAAACAGACAACTGCTTTTTTGTAGGGACAGTGTAGGGAAAGCGTCTGTCTTAACGGGCAAGTCTCACGTGCGGAGATGTGGTGGACTAGCTACTGCGGGTTACCCACGGAGTGAAGAGTTCGATGCTTGTGAAGACAGATGAGCTGCAGGCAGCTAGGGATACACTAGGGACAGTAGCAAGTTGTCATAGTAAATAGCCATTTTAGGGGGGACTGTTGTGGAAATAAGGTCTGCACATATTTCCAAGTTAATGAAAATGTCTATTTACTCATTTCACTATACACAATATATATAAACTAAGCACACATGTTTTAATCAAAATGGCTGCTAGAAGCTTCTAACCCCTCCTCCCCTCCCTCTCCCTCTAACACCAACTAACTACCTCGTGCAGCAAGATGGTGCCGGGAAACCGTGGGAGACCCTCATGGCCCTGGTGACATCACCTTCAGTAGGCAGAGCATTAGAACGACCACTTAACACCTAACCAATTATTGATGTATTATTCCATGTTATCTCTGACAATGCTTATGATGTAATTTTGCTTTAAAAGGGACCTGCCGTCCCCTCTGAATAAACATTCCTCAAGTTATTCAACAACCTGGAACCTGTGTCTGGTGTGAATTACTTCAGGGAGCGTGCACGCACTGTTTCATTGATTTGGCCAGGGGCAGATACACAAAGAAATAATCAATGTATTGATTTTTCCATTTCAGTCTGCATTACCTAAACTAATTTTATTGTCAGCCAGTCCACACAAGTTTTGTTCCCATACATCCCTCTTAAGCTTCCAAACTTAAAGGGACAATATAGTCCCCAGAACAACTACAGCTTATTGTATTTGTTCTGGTAAGTAGTAATTCCCTTCAGGCTTTTTGCCGTAAACACTGTCTTTTCAGAGAAAATAACTCCACTGGCCGCTCCTTAGATGGCTGCTAGAGGTACTTCCTGGGGCAGTACTGCCTAGTGTGCAGTACTGCCATTCAGTGTCTCCACCCTCTGCATGCAGACACTGAACTTTCCTCATAGAGATGCATTGATTCAATTTATCTTTATGAGGAGATGCTGATTGGCCAGGGCTATGTTTGACTTGTGCTGGCTCTGCCCCTGATCTGCCTAGTTGACAGTCTCAGCCAATCCTATGGGGAAGCATTGTAATTTGCTCAGACCACCACTTCTGATTATGTCCGCAGACAGAGTCAGTTCAGAGGCAGAGCCAGCAGCTGCAGACTTGAATACAAGTAAGATTGTACTATATTTAGGGAGGCAAGAGAGGGCCAGGGGAGCTAGAAGGTGTTTTATACATAATATGGTCAGAAATACATGATTGTTTTCCTGACCCTATAGTGTTCATTTAAGCAAGAGTATGTGAAGAGTAGTTAGGGTTGCCAACTTTCTTGGAAAAAAATACCAGCCTTTGTATAATTAATTAGTTATGAGTGACAACACATGGTGTAAATCACATAAGTGAGTGACATAAGAGAAAATTTTGTGAAATCACCATCAAACTACTCACAGTTTGATTCTGCTGTATAGATGAATTGCTCCCAGTGTCTCCTTGTCTCCCAGTGTCTCAGTCTTGCAAGACTCCCCATTTCTCCCAGTGTCCCCATGTCTCAGTGTGTCCCCATGTATCATAGTGTCAGTGTCCCCATATTGCCCAGTCCCCTAGTCTCCCAGTGTCCCCATTTCTCCCAGTGTCCCCATGTCTCAGTGTCACTAGGATACTAGGGGACACAGTGAGACATGGGGACACAGAGACCCGGGAACACTGGGAGACATGGGGGCACTGAGACACTTGGGGAAACTGGGAGACATGGGGGCACTTGTGAATACAGACATGGGGACACTGGGAGACATGGGGACACTGGGAGACATGGAGACACTGGGAGACATGGGGACACTGACATTTGGGGACACTGGGAGATATGGGGATACAGAGACACTAGGGACACAGAGACATGGGGACACAGACACTGGGAGACATGGGGACACTAAAACATTTGGGGACCCTAAGACACTACGGACACTAAGAGACATGGGAACACAGACACTGGAAGACTAGGGGACACTGGGAGACTAGGGGACACTGGCTGGAAGACAGACACTTGGAGACATGGGGACACAGACATTTGGGGACACTGGGAGACATAGGGACACAGACACTGGGAAACTTGGTGACACTGAGGACACTGGCTGGAAGACATGGGGACACTGGGAGACACGGGGGCTCTGAGTCACTAGGGACACTGAGAGACATGGGGACACAGACACTGGGAGACTAGGGGAAACTGGGAGCCATGTAGACACTCGGCCACTAGGGACACTGGCTGGGGTACATGGGGACACTGGGAGACATAGGACAGTGTCTCCGTGTCCCAATGTCTCAGTGTCTCCCAATGTCCCTATGTCGTACAGCGTCCCCATGTGTCTCAGCGTCCTCATGTGTCACAGTGTCCCCTAGTGTCTCAGTGTCCCTATGTTTTCCAGTGTCCCCAAGTATATCAGTGTCCCCTAGTGTCTGTGTCCCCATGTCTCCCTGCTGCCTTTTCCCCCATCCCTCACTTACCTGAGCTGTAGAGCTGCTGTCTGGACTCTCTGTGCTGTGTAGCTGCTCCCCCAAGGATCAGTGAGTAGTAGAGAGAGGCAGGAATAGGCTGTAACTTCCTATCCCTGCCTCTCTCCACACACACAGTGACCCCTACTGGCCGGTGCTGGTATTGCAGAGTAATCTCCGTTTATACTGAGAAAAATACCTGCATTTGTATTGCCGGTATTACTGCAATATCGGCACGGCCAGGCAGCCCTTAAATACTGGCTGTGCCAGTAAAATACCAGTCAGGTGGCAAACCTAAGAGTAGTGTGTAAAAAAAAAAAGTATATATTTTTTTTTAAATGAGCCTATTCCATGGGCCTGGGCCTGGAGCTGCAGCTCCATCATCCCCTATGTTAATCCGGCCCTGGCCACACCGGTATATTCAAGACCACATCCACCATAAGTAGGCAGTTTTGGTGTCCTTCTTTCAAACAGGATATTGATATTTATTTTAAGGCTTGTGTCATCTGTGCTGTGTCTAAAAGAATAAGGTATTTATCTTGTGGACTTTTGCAATTTTCTTCTGTGCCAAAAATACTATGGTCACATCTGGCAATGGATTTTATATTTGATTTTCCTCATTCGAAAGGTCATACCACCATACTCACTGCTGTGGACTCTAAGATGGTACATTTAACTCCTCTGTCCAAGTTTACACACATCTGCTGTATTGGCCAAGATTTTCA